GCTGAACAGAAGTCCTATAACTAAAAATATAAAGAAGAAGCCACATCATCGAGAATTGTAGGAGGGGCAGAGATGCAGAATGGGCCCCAAACCTCCCTGTGGTAGTTGAGAATCAGGAAGAATGGCTCAGCCACTGAGGTTCCCCCAGAGAAGTGAGGGACCCCAACCCCCAATACCAGGCTCCCCAGCCTGGAGTACTGGTGCCTGGAAGATGGGTCCCCACAACATTTAGCTATGAAATATGGTGGGGATTCTGACCACTCGGGCAGGCCAGAAGGCAGAGAGAACCCAAGCGTCCTCTTAAGTGGCCCATGCACAGACTCACTAGCTCGCAGACACTCACCTTGGGTTCCAGCAGAGGGACGGTGATTCGGGGGTGCCTCTAAGACATACAGGGGGCAGATTGAAGTGTGTGACTGCAGGGGAAAGACTGGAAAAGAGTCAGCATTTTCCTGATGACAGGTCCTTCACTCTTGCAGTTGGCAGGCAGGCACCATCTTTCCTATGTAGAGCTTGCCCCCACAGGCCAAATCTGAATCTAATAGGCCTGGTGAGCTCTGCTGCTCCACCCTGCTGACTGAGCTGGAACCCTGCCCCACCCAACTTGTGCACCGCTGGAGGCACTTTCTCTGTGACCAGCCAGCCCATACCACATTGCACTCTTTCTTGGAGTCCAGGGGCCACAGGTGGGCAGCGGCTGGCATCGGTGGTCTGAGACTTTTGCTGAGTCTCTCCAGGCTCAGCACTGGCAGCAAACCAGAGTCTACATTAACCTAGTGACCACAACTCTTCCCACTCTAGTGACTCCCTGAAACCATGCCTCACCCAACTCACATGCCACAGGAGGCTTTATCAGTGGCTGAACTTTAAGGGAGCCAGAAGATGGCAGAAGACCTCTGGGTGTCCTGGTCTTTTGCAGAGTTACCCCAGGTCTACTACTGGTGGCAGCTGTCCTCGGATCACACCGTGGCCTCTCCCATGAGCATCCAGGTTTAACACAGGCAGTGACAACCACGGATTACTCTGTACATCCTACCAGGTAGCCCCCAGACAGTCACAGGCGATGACTGACGGGGCCTGCACCGGAGCCCCTCCCAAGAGACCCCAGAACCAACATACTTGGAAGTTGGCTTCAGACCACAGCAGAGCACTGCCCAGTTAGCCCCATAAGTGGCACACACAAAGGGTGGTCTCAACAGGCACCAGAGCCCACTGAAGCAAATCCCACTTAGTGGGGTAAGCTTCAAACACAGCAACCCATAAGATGTAGATGAGGCCAAAACCCACAGCCAATCAGCCTGATGGTCAATCACACTCACTGATGTGCCAATAGCAATCAAGGATCAACTATAACAGGAGGGCACACACGACCCACACAAGGGACACTGCTGGAGCTCACAGCTCAGGTGACCAGAGAGACTGTGCTACTGGGCTCCACAGGACACCTACTACATAAGGCCACCCAGCCAAGACTGGGTGGGAGACAGAGCAGATCTACCTAATATATAGAAACAAACACAGAGATGCAGCCAAAATGAGGAAAACAAACAAACAAAAAATACATCCCAAATGAAAGAACAGGAGTTAAATCCAGAAAAAGAACTAAATGAAATGGAGGCAAGCAGGCTACCAGAGACAGAGTTCAAAACAATGGTTATAAGGATGTTCAAGGAACTTAGTGAGAACTTCAACAAAGAGATTGCAAGCATAAAATAGGATATTGAAACCATAAAAAAGAACCAATCAGAAGTGAAGAATACAATAACTAAAATGAAGAATGCACTAGAAGGAATCACCAGCAGGCTAGATGAAGCAGAGGATCAAATCAGCGATTGGAAGACAGAGAGCACCCAATCAGAACAGCAAAAAGAAAAAAGAATCCAAAAAAATGAGGATAGTTTAAGAGACCTCTGAGACAACATCAAGTGTAACAACATTCACATCATAGAGGTACCAGAAGGAGAATAGAAAAAGCAAGAGATTGAGAACCTATTTGAATAAATCATGGCTGAAAACTTCCCTAACCTGGTAAAGGAAATAAACATAGAAGTCCAGGAAGCTCAGAGAGTCCAAAACAGGGTGAACCAAACAGGCGCACACCTAGACACATTATAATTAAAATGACAAAGGTTAAAGACAAAGAGAATCCTAAAAGCAGCAAGAGAAAGGCAACTAGTAACTTATCAGGAAACTCCCATAAGACCAGCTGATTTCTCAACAGAAACTTTGCAGGCCAGAAAAGATTGGCACAAAATATTCAATGTGATGAAAAGCAGGGACCTATAACCAAGATTACTCTACCCAGCAAAGCTATCATTTAAAATCAAAGGGCAGATAAAGAGCTTCCAAGACAAACAAACAAACAAAAAAAAAGCTAAACGAGTTCATCACCACCAAACCAATATTACAAGGAATCTTAGAGGGATTTCTTTAAGACAGAAAAATAAAATTAACATTATGAATAATAAAATGGCAATAGCTACATATGTGTCAATAATTACTTTCAATGTAAATGGATTAAATGCTTCAATCAAAAGACTTAGGAGGGCTGAATGGATAAGAAAACAGTGCTTACATATGCTGCCGACAAGAGACTCACTTCAGATTGAAAGATACACACAGACAGAAAGTAAAGTGATGGTAAAAGATATTTCATGAAAATGGAAACAAAAAAGGATGGGGTGGAAATACTTATACCAGACAAAACAGACTTTAAAACAAAGGCTATAACAAGAGACAATGAGTTTTTGTTTCTTTGTTTCTTTATTTGTTTGTCTTGGTGCTTTCAGTTTTATATCCCACATATCAGTGAAATCATATAGTTCTCAACTTTTTCCATGTGACTTATTTCGCTTAGCATAATAATCTCAAGATCCATCCATGTTGTCACAAATGGCAGTATTTCATCTCAAGTTCTGGAGTTTTCTGGATCCAAGGCTGACCTTGGCCCAGGAGAGATAGTTCCAGACAGTTCTAAAGTGAAGAGGTCCACTGATCAGCTATGGGTCTCTCTGCCCATCAGTGCTCATTGGGTGGTGTGGTATCTGAGACAATCACTATAACAACACTAATTGATGTTTGTAGAACTTCACCCAGCACCTTCCCATTCTCTATAGGCACCAAGTTGTTGTGAGAATAAATGAGATACATATAAAACCTGGCCCAGAGAAAATGCTCTATAAGTTTTATTTCACAGTTGAGAAAGCAGGCTGAAAGGTTCTAACTATTCTGAAGCCATACAGCTGAGAATCAGCAGAATATGCACTTTAGTGCCAAATTCTGACCTTTTACTACAGCACAAATTCCTCTATCACCTGCCACAGAAATTGATGTATTAGGGGAACATCTGCATGGCAGTTAACATTTGAAAAATGGCCCCCAAGACACACTCTTTAGATTTGCTCCACCCCCATTCTGCAGTTTTTAAGTGATTTGTGCAAAAACATGAACAAAGGCTGATGTGTGAACCCAAATCTTTTGGCCACCAGTTCAATTTTTTCCCCTATATCTTTTCCTAGACATGCCCACCCAACTATTTTCTAAATTTTTTGTCATATGTCCTTCAAAAGAAAGTTACTAGAGTTCAGCAGCTGACACTTATTTAATCTACACTTATTTTCTCATACACAACTACATGCACACACACACACATGGACACACACACACACACACAGAGACACATGCTGTCACACTGCACAATACTAGCACATGGGGCTATGAAGTGACTGTTGTTGACTGTCTCATATCTCTAAAGATTGGACTTTTACCCATACAGTATAGGGAATATAGTCAATAATATTGTAATAACTATGTATGGTGTCAGATGGGTACTAGACTTATTGAGGTGATCACTTCATAAGGTATATAAATGTCTAATTACTATGTTGTACACATGAGACTAATATAATATTGTATGTCAACTGTAAATGGAAAATATATTAATTGCTAAAAAGATTGGATTTTTACCTTTTCTTTACCAGGTAACAGGAATAAGAAAAGCACAATAACAATAAATTCCAGATAGAATGCCTGTATAGAGTGGGCAGCAGATCATAGCAGGAGACTGTGTGTATGGCAATTAAGAGCTCAGGCTCTGGCTGGGTGGAAGCCCCACTCTACCTTTTGATTGCTGACCTTGGGAAAATTGCTCAACCTCTAAGCCTTTGGTGTCTCATCTACACATAAAGCAAGGATAATAATAGAACAGAACTCATAAAGTTGTGCTGAGAATTAAATCAGATAATTCCTATAGCAAACATCACAATTCCTAGAGGGTGGTAACTGCCTAGTAAATGTCAGTTTATATTTTATTATTATTATTATTATTATTATTATTATTATTATTATTCAAAACCATAGACACAATACAAGGGAGACAATGAAAGAATAAATTATGGGGTTTGTAAAATCCCTTTGGAGCAAAAGAGTAGTTGCATTTGTAGATAGCTTCTGATTTTACAAATATTTTGCTTCACTCATCAGGTATTTGTTGTGCCAGGTAATGAACTACATTCAACAGATACTAGTGAATAAGACAGACATGGTCCCTGCCTATTCATGCATTGGATCCTCAAGTACAGTCCTATAGTGTAGGTAAACCCAATTGGCAGATAAGAAAACTGAGGACTGAAGAAATTGGAATTTAAAGGTAGACACTGGAACCTGGGATTAACTCCTTCACTCAACAAATATTTATTGCGAGCCTATGTGCTAGGTGCTTTGCTAGCCACTGGCATACAGAAATGAACCTCAGATTAAAATGCTTACTCTAATGTAGTTTATAGTTTCTAGTTGTGAGAATTAGGCAATATCAAATATGTAAAACATAGTACACCACATGGTGCCCCACAGTACACAGAATAATAAATCAGATCGTGCAGGTAGGAAGGTCAGGTACAATTTTAAGGAGGTTGTCTGGGAAAGTCTCCCCAAGTAGGTGATAGTTGAGGAAAAACAAAGAACGGAGAAACTAAGGAACAACATATTTGACAAGGGTCCACCTAGGGCCTTCCGGAAGCCTTTGATCTGCTCAGGGCTTTCAGAACAGCCTCCTTCACCTCCTTGTTCCTCAGGCTGTAGATGAGGGGGTTCAGCATTGGGGTCACCACTGTGTAAAGCACGGACACCACCCGGTCCTCCTCTGAGGACTGGCCCGAGTTATCTCGCAGGTACATGAAGATGAGTGTGCCAAAGAAGAGGGACACAGCGGTGAGGTGGGAGGCACAGGTAGAGAAGGTCTTGGCCCGGCCCCCAGCAGAGCGGATCTTCATGATGGCCATGATGATAAATAGGTAGGACACCAAGATCACCAATATACAAGCAGGCATGACAAAAGTGGCAAACACAATTATCACCACCTCCTGAGTGAAGCTTTCCCCACAAGTGAGTTTCAACAGAGGAGGGAGGTCACAGAAAATAAAGTCGATCTCATTGTTTCCACAGAAAGAGAGCGTGAAGGCTGTGACTGTTCGCACAAAGGCACTGACAAAACCAGCAACGTATGCCCCGGCTACTAAGCCCCAGCAGGCCTTCTCGGTCATGATGGTGACATACAGCAGGGGTTGGCACACGGCCACGTAGCGGTCATAGGCCATGATTGCCAAGAGGTAGCAGTCAATGGAAGCAAAAAAGGTGAAGAGGAAGAACTGAGCGGCACAGCGAGCCTGCGAAATGGCTGCGCCGTGGTCCAGCAGCACAGCCAGCATCTGAGGGACGATGACGGAGGAGTAGCACATGTCCACGAAGGAAAGGTGGCCGAGGAAGAAGTACATGGGGGTGTGCAGCTGGCGATCTTTGCAGATCAGAATGATCATTCCCGCGTTCCCCAGCAGAGTGACAAGATAGAAACTCAAAAACAGCAGGAAGAGAGGCAGCCCCCACTGGGGATGCTCAGTGAACGCAATGAGGAAGAAGTCTGTCACCACCGAGTGATTCCTCCCCGCCATCGGTTCCATTCAGCACTTTACTTGGGAGGGCTGAGACAAGAGTCAGATGGGGGGACCCCTGTGGAAAAGTTCAAGTCATTTCAAGTAATAAAGCTTTAAAATGGGTGCCTGACTTCAACAAACTTTGCAGTCTAATGTGGAGATAGACAAATATAGAGCGCACTATAAGATAAAAAGTGATGGATGCTTCTATTATACAGGAATGGAGAGCAAGTGATTCTGACTTACAAGTCAGCCCTTGTTGTGGCAACTCTGTCCCCAATTAGCTGTTTGATCTTACACACGGCAGTTAACCTCTCTGAACCTCAATTTTCTTCTGCCTAAAGGGAATCATAACATCTGCCCTGCTTTACGAGATAATGTTACTGCATAGATTAAAACAGATGAAGAAGTGCATTGGAAACCGAAAACCACTCCACATAGACATGGTGGCAATTTAAAATGTTTAATGAACGTTTTAAGGAAGGAAAATTTATATTCTGTGAACAAAAGAGCATGAACCCAAAAAAATCCATTAACAATCAGTAATGGTCTCTGCTTTTAGGAATACTTCTATTTTCAGTCTAGCAACATGAATGTTTAACAAACAGCTGTTATCCTAATTAGAGTTGGCTGGTTTGTTAAGGATTTCTCTGTTTGCGTTTTTGTTTTTTTGTTTTTTTAAGTACTGGCATTAACCTTGGAGTCAAAAGAGCAAACAGGCTCATTTTAGCACCTAACAAAGCTTCATAAACCTTGTCGGATTGTTCTCACAGTCTTAATGAAAGCAGTAGTTTGATGACAAACGGCACCCAAATTAGAAAGCAGAGAGAGCTCTAGTGTTGTCTAAGCACTGTTAGAGGAATCTGGGCTAATGGATCTGGGGGTCCTTAACAGAGTTCCAGCATGGGCTGTAAAATAGAGCTCTGATCATGTTTGATTACCTGCTATAACAGCAGTCAGGCCAGAACTGAGCTAACCCATGAGGAATAACAAAAGAAATTAGACCTGGGAGCCGTTGAGCTGGGTATGAACCGTCCTCACAGGAATTCCACTTCACTAGTGCCTTTCTCCTTTGTTTAGTGTTTCCTCTGCCGGTGACCTGCCGATCCACAGGAGACTGGGTTCTATCTCACTCACCCTAGATGTGTAACCCTTGGCAAGTCACTTTTCCTCTCTGGACCTCTATTGCCTGATCTTTGTTCCCTTTCAATAAACAGCAATGCAGCATGAGTCCATCATCATAGCCACCTAGTGGAGATGGGGTCACCCCCAGAACCTCTATGTCTTATTCTCACTTCAGAGAGTCCCTCTCTTTCCTCTCAGCCTTAACAAAACAATACATCCCTGACACTAGAGTTTCCTGGGGTATTTTTTTCAGACTCAGCCCAGGAGAGTAGGGCTAGGGGGCCAGCCCCTCTCCCTGAGCTTCTGATCCAGCACTAGATCTTGCGGGTGGTATTTTTTTATATTAACTGCCCCAACATCCTGCCCTAATTGGTTCCTGAGGTGAGTCTCCATGGACAGACAATTCATCTTTACGTGACTTCCTAACAAGGCATCTAACATCTTTGAAACTTTCTCTTTAATTGTAAACTCCCAAAGCCCCATCCCACATCCTGCCATCACTCAGCAGGGTCTGATGGGGCTGGTTCCTAGTCTTGCCTCATTCCTGCCTTATACCAAAAAGAATGTATTTCTTTGAAATTGTCCTATATCTCACTTGAGAATTTTGTCAAGGGTTTTGCACAATGTCACCCTAGCCAGCTACAATCTGATCCCAAAAGGAGGCTGCTTTGTAAGCACAAGGCTTTGCTCCTCATCAGCAAGATACAATGTAATTGGTGACCATGTAGCAGAAACAGAACGCTGCACGTGCAGGAGTCGTGAGTTGAAATGATGGAAAGACAGGTGTGAGCAGGTCATGAACAGACTTTTACTGAGCAAACAACAAATTCTTATTGGTGACCGACATCTCCTCCAGAGCACTGATTCTCAAACTTCAGTGTGCATAACCATTATCCAAGGAATTTATTGAAAACATGAATACTATGGTCCCGCCCCCATAAATTCTGAGGCAGCATGTCTGCCATGGGGCTCAGACATCGAGACTGTTAACAGGCATTCCTGCAGTTCTGACACAGCAAATCTCCAAAAATTATGTCTAGAGACAGTGCCTTGAACAGCATGCTCAGGAACTCTAGTCGTGTTTGACCTTCTGTGCATCGCGCCATAAACTAAAGGAACATTACAAGCATGTTCTTGAAGGGCATGATTTCTTCAAAGTCCCATCAGCACCTTTCTTCCTCACAGACAACCTAAGGAAGTCAAGGTGGTTTGATGTTTCCCTATGTTATAAATCTAAAAACCTAGATACAAAGAGGGCTATTACAGCCATTTGGTGGTGAAACAATGAGTTGAAGCCAGTCAGTGCTCTGCTGACTAAGTCTATTCAGAGGGTGCTACAAGACAAGAGGACTCAACGGCGTGGTTCTCAAATCAGAACATTTGAGTGTAGAAGCCAAACATCAGTACTTTTTTTTTTAATCCCCAGGTAATGGCAATGTGCACCAAAGTTTGAGAACTACTGCCAAAGGGCTCCTACCTTGCAAAGTCTTACATTTCCCCAGGTGTCTTAGGTAAATGTTCCAATGAGGAAAATAAGCTTATTGTTCTCCTAAGTTTGGAAATCACTGCGTACTATATTCCTCTGCATGGAAAATCATGTTACATGCCAGCATATTAAAGGATCTTTAAAGCCTTATAACTAAGAAACTTGGTCAACTTTCTTTAACCTATCATTTCCCAAAACTATTTGACCACAGAACCTCTGTTTCATTGAAAGCTGATTACCATCATGTGGAACTAGAGTTCCTGGGGAAGGGTGCTGCTTAGGCAGTGCAGCTCTTTAAAAGCTCGGCCACTGACCAAACGCCAAACAGCAAAGCAGTAATCATTCCAAGAACAGCATCTCCTGATGACTCATCTCAGGATCTGGCTCCTTTAAGTCTCTGTCAGACTGGCTGCCCCAAGGACAAACATTCCTATTGGGAAAGGAGGTGGGAGAGGTCTAGGCAGGGAACACCGTCTTTCCAGATGGAGCCCTCCAGAGCTACGGAAGAGGAAAACCATCTTTCCTTCTAAGAAAGACTTTTTCTTCAGTTGTGAAGTGGACCCAATGGCTGAGCCCCTGCAAGTCTGCTTCATAAACAATAGTGACTAAATCCCACCCCATCCCCAGTTGAAATAAGCTGCTAAAGCCACCAAAACCCTACTTTCAGGAAGCTATGGGAGAATTTAAAACCATTATCAGGTAATTATTAAGATAATTCTGTCACCATGAAGTCAGCCCCAGAAAAGACACAGAATGAACCTCATGGAGTATAGATCCAATATTTCACATATTGTGAGTATTGAGACCCATAAAACTAAAGTAAAAGAAGTTTAAAGACTTGTTCCTAAAACCTACAGATCTGACCAACTTTGGTTTCCTGATTTAGAGATTCCGGGTATGGTGGTAGCTGAACCAAATTGTGAAGGGGAAAACCAATAGGATAATAATAGCAAAGACTATTAGCTTCTTCTCCCTTCAAGTATTAGAGTCACATCTGAAACCTTCCAGTAGGTGGAGTATTCTAGTTTGAATAGCCTAGTAGTTCTTAAGCATGTACAGTAATGCCTTGGTTTGTGAGCATAATTCGTTCTGGAAACAAACTTCTCATATTGCAAGACATCACTCGTTTATCAAGTTAAAATGTATTACAAATATTTGCTTGTCTTGCAGAACACTCACAAACCAAGTTACTCGCAATCCAACATTTTACTGTATATCCAAAAGTGGATTTATGAATGATTTAACATCAGTTATTGATTTTCTATTTAAAAGGACTTTTAGAATTTAAATAACCCAACAAAAGCAATCACAGTTTGCTTTATTTGAATGACTTCAACACAAGATATAACAAGATGTGTGAAAATACTAACACTTATTTAGAACCAGGTAACCTCCACATTATCAACTATTCTTCAAAATTACCTAATTTAACCCTGTCTCCCGTCCAAACATAAGTGGGAAGCACCTTTTTTTTTTTAGCTTTCCCTGAGCTCTCTCTATAGAGTATAAAGTACCTGGAGTCCCAAAACATCGGGTTTTGTGGCCACTAGTTCTTACAGCCTTTTACTTAGCCCATTCTTCTTAAATAGAAATCTTTAACTGCCTGTTTAGAACTTAATTAGAAGGAGGCATTAAATTGTCTCCTTAGGCCTGATACCCATATTCTTGGTAGTCCCTTTAAATTCACTGTGTTCTCCCTGCCTCCTGGCAGATTCCAAAAAAGCAAATCACTCTTCAGTGTACTATTTTTATTCACACAGACACAATATTGTCCTTTTCCATCAGGAGGGAACTCTACATCCAAGCTTTCTAACTACTTCGCTAACTTTTCCCACCACAACACAATTGACACAGAAACTTTATTCATTATTCCCTTGGTGGAGCTATAAATTTCCAGACTGGGTTTTAATAACCAGAAAACAAAACATTATTAAGGGATCAAATATTTCTTATGAAAATTATAATATTAATATGTACTCATATTTTAAAGCATCCTGTCTTCCAGAATAAACATAAGGTCTTTGAAGATTTAAATGTTCTATTTTACTATGAGTGGCCTTAAATTGAATATCCTTTGGCTGCCTTCACCCTGAATCTTCCTGATCTGCTCTTCGCTGATCTGCTTCTTTCAATTTAAAATCCTGTTACTGGAATTCCAGGTGTCACAGAGTTTTTGGCTGACTGAGTTTGGAATCACTCTCCTTCCCCCCTCCCATGATGGCTCACATCATTCACATACCTAAAATCTTGTTTTTTGATAACCCAAGGGACAGAGAGAAAAGGCGTTTGAGTCCCAGAAATAATGATCAAAGAAAGAACAAGAAATGTTGAGTAGACGGGACCTGTTCCCTTCCGGTGCCTTGGGTTTGATTTAGGCACCTACAGTTAGAGAAGTGAAGATCAAGAA